TATATATTGTGTGTGTGTGTGTGTGTGTGTATGTGTGTCATGGCGGGAGTTTCGATATTTAAGAAATCGTATAGATCTGGTAGCTGTGAACTTTTCACAATTGGGCAGGACAGTAACTGTTCATATTGGTGCGCACGGTATTTGGTCGGCATCGCTAAACTCTATGTATTGATCATGTTATTACTTCATATCAATATGATTATAGCGCTGATTACCTTCCTGTAAATTTATATTGTACAGTCAATTGGAAATTACACAAAGAATGACGAATGCTGAAACTGAGAGCGTTCAGGATAGCGTGTATGTCGATACCGAGGGCGTTCGATATGAATATGACTACGATATACAAGCCTGGCTGAATACAAGTGTATGCAATTAGTCTTTTCTTGCGCAGCTTCTGAATCCTGTATTTCTAAGGGCTGGATGCATACTGTAGTCATCAGTAGTCGATATCATTTCTCAAACCAACTTCATCACTTATTTCAGACTGGTGATTACAGCTATGTGGCTCAGGAAAGTGAAGCACCGGCTGAGCACGTCTATACGGATGCCGATGGTGTCCAATACATCTGGGACTATGAGAAACAAATATGGTTGCCTCAGGTATTGAATCTGTGTGCCTGTACTAGATTGCTATTCAAGAGTGGTGTCTCGCGGTGTCGAATTTGTATCAATTATTTCGGCAGTGATTTCCCCACATATAGTTTTTGCTACACCTCGCTTTCAATCTGATCATAAATTTTACCATTCGCTTCTCGACTTCCTCTACCTTATATAACAGGTCGATGACGATCTCATAGCGCAGTTTCAGAACAGCTATGGCCCTCCTGTCGTGGAAGAGCCAGACAAATCTGTAGCTGTATGTATTTGAATATCGATGGTTTTATACCGAATATTGTAATGAGCGAGCAATTACGTGTGTTGAACGCAATCGTATTTATAATTGGTCTTGTCAGTATCGGGCGATAAGTGCCGCCTTTTCAGGCCAACTCTTCATGTTCTGCTCCCTTATAAAGCCTACAACCCAGATTGGCCATAAACGACAGCTGGGCGACAATGGCGATACGGCTGCGCCACCAAGCCAAAAACCAAAGTTAGACAGTCAGCAGAAACCTGAGGACAAACCAGCACATGATTCTAAGTACTTAGAGACGCCAAAGGAGAAGAACCCTAATGTATACATCTCCGGATTACCGATTGATATAACGAGCGAAGAGCTGTTAGCTTTCATGAGCAAATGCGGAATTATAAAACTAGACGATGAGGGCAAGCCGAGAATCAAAATATATAAGGATGCGCAAGGGAATCCCAAAGGCGATGGCTTGTGTACTTATCTAAAGGTGAATCTATAATTATGTGCCATTCTATAGCTTGCTCTGTATCAGATATCTTTTTCGTGAATCGTCTTCTGTGTACAATGTATGGTACTTCAGTTAAACCTTTCCGACTACTTGATATATCTTCTTACAACTCTCCTTGCCGTTTGTTCACTCAGGTGGAGTCTGTGGACCTTGCGCTAGACATGCTAAATAAGGCACAAATCAAACCAGGTGTGCCACTCACCATGCAACGAGCGAAATTTGAGAAGAAGGGTGACAAATTCGTCGACAAGAAGAAGAAGAAAAACACAAAGAAAAAACCGCAGCAGGCAAAGTAAGTCGGTATACAGTTTGCAGCCACTCTAGTGTATCAGAGTTTAAATTCAATTGTGTGCCAGATATAGTAATCCAGTATAGAATATCGTCGCCTACCAGACACAAGACCTGTCGTCAAAGCCTCAAAAGTGAATACATTTCGATTCTTTTGGTGCCCAGGGGTCTATCATGGGAAGAACAAGGGTCGAGCAATCAGGTCAACAAGAAGGCGGCTGCCGTAGTGATCCTCAAGCATATGTTTGACCCGAACGAGTTCGACGATGATCCCGTGGCTATTACGGATATATCTGAGGACGTGCGAAATGAATGCACGCAATGTGGAGAAGTTCGGAAAGTCATTGTTTTCGATGTAAGTGAATGATTTTTTCGGTTGATTCCGTTTTCCTATATGGCATGACATTGAAGGTGTTATCGCTGTGATGACTTGCACGGATGTAAATAATCAAAATGTTACATGCGCATGGAGTCAATTACCGACAGATAAACACATCGGCAGTTTTATAAATCCTGTGACCTTCACCATTCTTGCTGAGATTTACGATTCACACTTTTTATGGCGACAATTGCTATCTACATCCCTCTACTTAAGCGTGTGCCTATACTCCCCAAGGTCTTACGTGTACGGCGAAAGCTGAACTGTTGATTCCATGTGCGGTTATGCTTATGCTCTCACCTTGTCTTTCAATCGCAACAGCGTCATACAGATGGGGTCGTGTCAGTTCGATTTGGTGGGCGAGAATCGGCTGAGAAGTGTATTAAGGTATTTGTTAGGAGATTATGCTTAGAACAGGGTTGAACATAGTTTAATTGTCGTAATCATGCAATTGTCAACTTGTCTACCTTGCCAATCGATTTCACTTGTAGGCGCATATGTTGCTAGTTCCCATCTCGACAAATTCCGAGAAACTTCAAATGGTGTGCGGTGGACATAAATGTTTTCCATTAACGACTGCAGTGAGAACCATTTTAAGGACTACGCGCGTATACAAACTTGCAGACGAGACATCGGAACTATTGTAAATATTTGTCTAAATCATAGATTCCACGATTTTGTAGCCAATCTCTGTTAGAAACGTACCAATATATGCGAGTATTTCACTGACTCGTCATGTCACATTTTGCTCGTATCCACCAGCTGATGCATGGACGCTGGTTTGGGGGTAAGAGAATTCTTGCCGAGCATTGGGATGGCAAGACTGATTATAAAGTAGAAGAAAATGAGCACGAAAAGGTGCAACGATTAAAACAGTGGGACACGTACCTAGAGGGTGCCAAGAGTGGAGTAGCCTCGACAGAGCCCGCGCCGTCTAGCAGTACTGGATCAATTGATAGTACATGAGCTCCATGGAATCGGCCGCTAACTGTTTCCTCCAAGCTACACTGAAATACAAATCACTTTGCAGTTGTAAAGCCTCGTACAGAAGGCGTTGCATCAACCGAAAATGTACGCAAGACATGGTACGAAATTGCAAAAAAAAAAAAATTGTTTTACTGCCACCTTCCAGTCCACTGTGGTATATTATATGAGTGTGTAGAGGCATATCAGTCTACGTAGAGATTTCAATTGACTGTATGTTTAATACGGAACGAGTAGAAGTGTGTTTGGGCATATATTACGGAGTCAATGCAGAACGCCTGAAAATTAAACATGTAGCGTATGTGAAGTAGCACAGATTTGATCAAAAGCAATGCTCAAGACGACGGGGGCGACAAGTGCATAATTTGCAGTGTGTGCCCTATGGAAGAACAGATGACATTGTCGCGGTTGGTTAATTGTACGCCCATGATCAGCAAATGGTAGCCCTGATGTCGTCAACTATTGCAGTAATTTGATGTGATCCGTTGGAAATAGCGCACAAATCACATGAACTTTTGATACATGGCGCGATGAGTTGATACTTCTGAGATATTTTTTTGAACCAGCTCAGGCCCTTCTAGGAAGCCCGAGGCTCGCCCTTTTGGTATTCAGACCAAGCAGTGTGTTGTGTCAATACAATCACATCACTGTTGAAACGTTTGATATCTTTCAGTGTTGTGTATACGGATAAATGCATTCCAATAAAATAAACATTCAGTTAAACCCCTCCTCAACAGATAGCTGTTTAGTTTAGTGATATCGCAATGGTTGATCCATTCATGTTTGCGTGGAGGTAACATCTTGAAACCAAATAGCAAGTGACCTCACATCGGCCACAGTGCACCCCGATTGCCAAGTGATATAATTACTATGAGTTTCTGGGTTACTGTCTCTTGCAAATGTGCTTTTGATCCTTGTATAACGCCTGGGAGCCCCGAAAAGATATCTGGCATGTTTTACGATGTTAAACTGAAACAAACTAAAGCCTTTAGCTCTGTGCTAACGGTATCTCTGTCAAGCGTTCCAACGATTTTATTTATTATCACCGAGTTGTGAAGAGGAACTGAGGAACTAAGGGTGTAGTTGTGATCCATGACGGCGCTATGGTTGAACACAGGTGACTCAAACGCCCATGTCCCACATCGAGTTTAATTCATCGCACCGAACACGGGGTTATGTCTGCGAATTGTAAGATATGTTGTAATTTAAGTTTTCTTTCGTAGATTGTATATAGCAACTTGAAGAAAAGAAAAAGCTGTGAAAGTCGGTCAAGAGTGCAAACAATTCAGGATAAAAACACCCGTCACAAATGATAATCTGCAAAGGAAACAGCTGCGTACAACTAATCACTACCGGGCAGATGAGTTGCTTACATACCTGGCGATTGATGGTCCATACTCTTCGTAATCCGCCTTAGAATGGCACACGGAGTAGAATTCAGGCTGTTGTGTTTCAAGAAATGTAGGAGGCGATTGATGAAACATTGAAAAAGGGCTATTCAAGGACAATTCATCGACCACTGCGAATCGACATTCCTATGCGATAAAATGATGCGAAACCATTGCAGTCGCATCGGATATCATCGATAGTGATTTACAAACATAGGGCAACATGTAGAAGAAATGCGGAAGTGCACATGGGAAATAGAGTGCAATGATGAAATCATCCGCTCAAAGTAGTAATTCATGACTAACTTACCGTGGAAGCCAGCATACTGCCTCCGAACCAGACAGCGTAGCGCTGCATTTTGTGCGAAATAACATTAACATCCATCGGCGTCGGCTGAATGCGGCCCTGGCTCAATTTCGCACTCTCTTCTTGTCGATTGGTAACGATCTTCTTGACATCGCGTTGCAATCGCCGACCAAAGTCTTTGAACATGGTTGTTCCTCCGGAAAGCACGATGTTCTGACAGTGAATTGTACGGTAAAAGCAAGGGCCGATGAGACTTGTGACCACCAACGTAGAAACTTGTGGACACAGCATCAGTACTAATCAATACCACTATCAGCGTGCACTATTGCGTGAAATCAATATACTTGGCGGGAAGATCACAAGGAGTACAACGTCACTAGTGACAGATAATTCATCAGACTAACAGTATTAAATAAAATCTATGGTACATAATATAGAACTTGTAGAGGTTACTTTTTCTCAAGCATATCAGAAACAATTATTTGAAATTACCTTGTACAGCCCCCTTCGAACATCGATGGGACATTGTTGAATGACAGCATCGGTCACATCAGAAATTGAGTCTGTGAAATCAGGATTAGAAAACTCGGGACTGAAGAATATCTCGGGGCCCATGAATCGTTCATATCCAACGTCAACCTGTTGTGTTCAGAAATATCTGGCGAGATTAAGCACTAGATAGCGAACAAGAACAAAACAAACCCGTAGGGCTTCTTAAGATCTATGGAATATTGATACAGTAAGATAATGGTTTGCCAACTCTAACATGCTAACTCGCATAGAACCAGAGGAATGCTTTTGTCTCTCCCTTTAACGAACCGATACACATACCACAATTTCCTTCTTATTCACAGAGTGATTGAAAGTGTGTTGCTTGATCCATCGCTCGGGATCCGCATCATATTTCTTGAATTCCTTGGCAATGTCTGGGCATACATAACTGTAGGATTCTTTGATGCGTTTAGCTTCCTCCATTGAGTCTTCTGGAGGTATTTGAGGCTCTCGATCACGCAGTAGCTGCTGTACAAACTGTGTGATATCCCGACCTGCAAACCATTAAAATGAAAGAAGCCCAATCATTGAAAAATTATAGCTTTACGATCATATACTCTTCAAGTCTATTAACATTAGCAGGGGATTTGTGGCATACATTT